AGATAGATAGATAGATAGATAGATAGATAGATAGATAGATAGATAGAATTCTTTATTGGCCAAGTGTGATTGGACACACAAAGAATTTGTCTTGGTGCAAATGCTCTCAGTATACATATCTCAAGAATCATAAGGTACAACACTTAATAATAGTCATAGGGTACAATAAGCAATCAAATCATAGCACAATAGCACTTAGCCTTATCTACCGCTTCCCAGCGCTTTACGGCCCTCTCTAAATTCTAAATGGTTTACAGAGTCAGCCTCTTGCAAACCCCAGCAATCTGGGTCCTCATTTTACCCACCTAGGAAGGATGGAAGGCTGAGTCAACCTGGAGCCTGCCAAATTGCAGGCAGCCGGCAGTCGGCAGAAGTAGCCTGCAGTACTGCACTCTAACCACTGCACCACCACAGCTCTTATATGCCACAATGCCAACCACAAATAACACTGCAATGAGTAGATTTTCATCCTGCCTTTATTATTTTATTAGAAAGGCTGTGAAAGTATGTATTTCCCCTTCCTCCTCTTATTTTCCCCACAACAACCCTGAGGTGGGTTGGGCTAAGAATGAGGGACTAGCCCAGTCACCCAGCTGGCTTTCATATCTAAGACGAGGCTTCTACTCCCAGGTGATTGGTCCAAAGTCACCCGGACAGCCTTCCTGTTTAAGGCGGGACTAGAACTCCCTGTCTCCTAGCGATCGGTCCAAAGTCACCTGGACAGCCTTCCTGCTTGAGGCAGGACTACAACTTCCAGTCTCCTAGCGATTGGTCCAAAGTTATCCAGCCGTCTTTCAATTCTAAGGCAGGACTAGAACTCACTGTCTCCTGGTTACTAGCCTGGAGTTTTTTAAACCAATAAACCAAACTGGCTGTCTTAACTGTTCAACGGCAAAGCTTCCGTATTTAGGACGGAGCAGATGATGGATTTCGAATCCGAGCACGGATGAAAAGGACCCCCTCCCAAACGAGGCACCGTTGATACGTACTTGAGACAAGCACCACGGTGGCTGGTGCAGCATGGGTATCTGCAAATCTCCTAAGGCTTTGCCGGAGTTTGTCGTCTGCAGCATTCTTGGCTGTGGCATTGATGTGCAC